GTGCAGTCGTAGGAGGGAAAAAATAACACCCTTTCATTCTTGCTGACGTCCCTCAGCTGGTGCCCATTATAGAAATTAGCTCAGGCAGTTCAAGAACTAAATAATACAAAACTGATCTAAAGCTGTAAGAAAAATAATTGCCAGTTGGAGCCACTCCAGCACCTCGATGACAGCCCAACGCCACGTATCAAAGCAGGGACCCTTGTGCCTGCACCTGCACGGCCTCAGCAGGTGGAAGCTGACTCACGGCACGAATGCTGAGGCTATCCATGGGACGGGTGGGTATTCCATCAGCTGTAGGGTTGAAATTATCATTCACATCCTTCAGAGTACGTACATAGGTTAATGATGCAACTGGGTCAAAACCAAAGCACACAGCCTTCAGAGGAGGGCAGGTCCAGCATCAGTGAAATGAGTCCTCAGTGGTATAGCAAAAAAAAAAAACAAACCCAAACATCTGAAAGGAGCAACAGAATCCAAAAGGATTCTGAGTTTCCAGCATGATGTCCAGGAAGCCAAGGCCTTGTTGCTGCTCCTGCCCTATGCTGTTTCCTGCTTTGCAGTCTGGGTGACCCAGTAATCTTTCCCAGTCTTAAACAATGATGATAACATGTTTAATATAGGAGAAAATAAGAAATGTGCTGAACCACATGCACCAGCTTGCCATAAATATTAGCAGTAGGAGATAGGAGACGAAGACAACTTTCTCCACAGCTATCAACTCTGTACTAATTCAGTATTAAAGGAGGATTTTTGTGAGAGGGCGAGCAGATCCTGACCCTCCAAACAGAGCCCTGTGAGCCAAAGGGCTTGGTTTGGGCTCATGCAAATTAGCAAATACACCCCAAAGATATCAGAAATTATACTTACTTCTAAAAAACAAAACAAAAAAAAAACCAAACCATGAAGGGGGCAAAGTTAGGAATCGGAAGGAACCTTCAGCTCCCACTCCCTGTTCCCCTTGGGGTAGCAAGCCTTTCATGCCATAGCTCCCACATAACGCAACAGCAGGCAGAAGGAACCAAACACAAGCATCAACATCTCGTAGCACTTTGCACAAAAGGAACTGCTGGACCGAGCAGTTCTCCATCAAGCAAAAGCAGGAAGAACATCTAATTTAGGCCATTTGCAAAGGGAAGCTGGCATCAGGTGCAGCTTGTTACATACCCCAGAAGGAGCAGCTGATTTCATCTGCAACTTGGAAACTGTAAGTTTGTTTGCTGCTCTCCTTGTAACATGGCAAAGGAAAGCTCACTGCCACGTGCCGACCTTTGTATAGTCTGAAAAGAGCACGTCATTAAATCCAAGGCACTTCTGACATGGAGCTCTCCTGAGACCAACAGCTGCTCCATTTGCTCCCTCCAGCTTTGCCCCAGGCTTTGCAAGGACCACTGCTGGGTAATTAACACAGAGCATCGTTTCTGCCCCAACAATCTCAGTGAGCAGAGGGTGACCCAGACTATTCGCTCCAGTCCCCATCACCCTTCAGTCTCCCAGCACAGTGATGGGAAGCCAAGACATGCACAAAGGACAGTGATAAGGCTGACAGCTCAGAAGGTCAGGCAAGTCATTTTGGGAGCATCACATCCATCTTCTCCAAGGACAAAAAAATAAATAGAGGAGCAGGTGTGAGGCTACAGACCTGCAGGACTCTGAGCAGCCCAACTGACTCCCGTGAGTTTCCCAGAGAGTGCTGTGCCAGCTGAAAGGAGAACAGGGTGCAGCAGCTCATTGCAGGCTGCATTTAAACCAGGAACACTGAATGACAGCAACTCTTGGAGCATCAGTGCTGCTTCTAACCTGAGAAGATCAAGGCACCAGGCAAACCAAAGAACGTGATCCTGAAACACATAGAAGACTGGCAATGAAATGCTTTAGGGAATTAGATAATTTAGTGACAAGCTGCAAACACTTTTAACCAGTTTGGAAATAAAAAAAAATTACAATAATTCAGAAGACAAATGGAAAAATTCTGCCTAGAAAAGGAGCACACAGCATGAGATCACAGGATTCAGCAGACTATAAAATAGGAAATGAGACTTACTCTTCTCCCCCTACAGCTACACAAAACCCTCCTACGTAGATTACAAACGTGCTTGGCAATTGCCTTCCTCCTCCAGCCTCTCCTGTTGTGGACAAGGCAGGATTGGTTGAAGCCTGAAAGCAGAGAGGATATTAGATAAAACATCTTGCAAAGCCAAGTGTGAAATATTAACAACAGGAGGCAATGGCTTGTGTTCATATGCAAGATCACAAATTTGGTGCTCAGAGAGCCCGAGATGTCCTTGCACACCAGAATCTCAAAGCGCTTGTGGAATGTTTCATTTAAAAACCTACTGAAGCCTACTGGAAAATTTCTATCAGTTCTGTTATTTGCTTTATTTCCTCTTACTTCGCTATTTTTGTTCTGTGACACCAAGAAATTATGCATGAATAAAAAGGTTATTCCTTCCATTCATCTGGTCGGTTTTAAAACAATTTGTACTTGTGAAGTGGGCACTCTGAAAGCCTGTATTTGTACATGAAATTAGCACAACTGTGCACACTGCATCCGAATTGCTGGGTGCATTTGTACATGCAATTACCCAATTTGCACACAGAACCACAACAACCAGGAGGCAACATGGATGTGCAGCCGTTCAGCTGAGCAGAGCACTGCATCTGGCACTGGGAATTTTGGTTTTGGTAGGTGAAAAAGATCGTAGTCCTGGACATGGCAGAGCTCCTTTTTATCAAGCACACGTGGCACAGACAGCAGCACGGCTTGCTGCCCTTACCCTACCTCAAACGTGCCTTGGAGGAAACTGCCTCCCATTCAACATCTACAAAAGGCTCAGCTCTTGTTTATCCTGCAGTCCAAGCTGCCCACTAATTCCAGCTGTGACAGGACTATGTGCTAAGGACATCTATTCAGCACTGACTACCAGGAATAACCATTTCTGCCACTTCAGAGCGTAACTGAGACCTGCTGTCACAATCTTACATGAAAAAAGATTAATGCTCCCGAGATCCAAGCAGCAACTAAGGAGAAACATAAGGACAGGGAGCCTAAGAGCGGATGTAGGGCTTCTTCCACCTTTGCAAGGGCTTCTGTGATAGGAACAGGGGAGGAATATGAAAAAACTCTCACTCGAAGATGCATTACCTGTAGATTTTTCACCCGAATGGCAGCTGTGGCTCTGCAAACTGCACTTCATCTTCAGCAGTTTCCCATCAACATCTCATTTTTTTCCAGGCTTAGCCAAGCAGGCTGATGATGAGGGCAACCACAGCAACAAAACTACTCGTGGCAGCTGTGCAGCACCAAAGGAAGGGGCAGAACTGCAGAGTGGGCAGCTGAAACCCAATCCCCACACTTGGGGTCACCAAGAAGGTCTGCAGCCATTCATCACCAAAATCCAACGTAGCATGGCAGGACAGAGCAGTTTCCAACCCTTAATGCTGCACGATGAACTGATTTCTGTCCTCAGCGACTGCGGGTTAGGCAACACAATGCTGAAGTAGGATGATGTGCAAGAGGTACATTTTCAGCTAATCATCAAGCAGTCCCTCATCTGGAGGTGCTGCATGGCCTCCGAGTGCCACTTTGTCCTTGTTGGGCTGCAAAACAACCGCAGTGCACCTGGCCAACATTAACTGGAGATGTTACATTTATGATTTTATGGCTGATATTTTCCTCTACCCTCTATCAATTGAGTTCACTGTCTGAACGATCGCATCTGTTTATGTTCCACAGACACCTGCATATCTTGAGATGACAGCAACTCCCTGAATACTGTAATCAGTTATTTCTCAACAGAGGAATTGCCAATTTGGTAAATAAAGCTCATTATAAAAGAGCGTGGATATGTATTACCGTTGCCTAACAGAAAAAAAATTGTCCAGTGCTGCCTGATAATCAGCCCTGGCATCGTAGTCCCCCCCAATTTAGGGCAGCTGAAATAATGACATGCAAATTACTTATGCCAAGGCAACATTAGATGGGGGCAAGAGGAAAATGAAGAAGAGACAAAATAGGTATTTTTCCTCTTTAGACCAACGACGATGTAAAATCCAGTCAGTGACAGGCCTTGCTTCTTCACATTTCCACATGCAGCATCAGAAGTCCTGCTGCTCTGCAGAGCCCAGCCATCACAAGCAGATCCAGAAGCCGGCACTGCAGTCCCAGCAGAAGCCCACCCAGTGCTGCCACAAACAGACCCGAGGACACACCATATCCTGCTTTGCTTTGGAAAACCCCCCTTCTTTTGGAGATACCCAGTTTGACCTGCACAGTGATGAAGAGTTGGAACTTTTGTGGCATCAGCTCTCAAAAGGAAAGTTGCTTTAATGAAGATATGAAGTTCTAAGTTGCTGCCCAAAAGCAGAATATAACATAGAAAACAGTTCTCAGTTCCCCTCATTTATTTTCATAAACACTACGTTAAAATCTGACGTGACCTCCAAAAATCCACGATCGCATTCTTCAGAACCTGTCAGACACAGCAAGGAGGACACGAGCAGCAGAAGCTGCCAAGTGGAGGAGAAGCTTTAGGCAGAGAAAGGGAATGAAGTTACAAACCAGACCTGTTCCTGTTTTACTGACAGGTGTCTCTGCTGCAGTTTCCTCCAGCGGGATGAGATGAGAGAAACGGAGTTCCCACTTGGCTGCACGAGAAGCAAACAAGGCCAGAGTGCACAGTGGACAGCAGAGGAGGAACTGCACACAACAACTAGAGTAAAGAAAGATGGCTAGGGCTCTGCATGCAGCACGCAGGGTGTTTTTCAGTATGATTCACCAACGCTGATTCTCTTCGGCCAGGACTTTACACTCTTCCAAGTACTTTCAAATAAGCCAACCTCATTCAGCCTGGAACCTAAAACAAGTTTCGTGATTTATAAAGTGTGATTGGAAAGGCTTCTATTCCCCATACTTGGTGGGAGTTTTCATTGGCACGGGTAGGAGGTAGGAAACAGCAATCTACAAACTCATGGGACTGAAAGTATCTCACAGCACACAGTGACCATTAAACACTTTATTACTTAGGAGAGAACCTCAGAAGGGAAGAAACACGCCTGCTGGTGTAGCCAATCAGAGCATGCTAGGAACAGCTAATCCCAACAAGCTAGTCAGGGTTATTTCTAAGTACTTCAGTCCCTTAATTCTGGAGCAAACGGACAAAAATAACAACTCTTGAAACTCAGACAGGGGTTGGTGAAACCAAAGCTAGCACAAGGTGAACCAGGCCTGTGTGGAGTATGCCTCCAAGCAACAAGTCGTGCTGGAGTCAAGGCCATTCTTTACATTCTATTATAATACAAAAATGAAGCAAATGTTCCCCTCTCCTACGACACTCTGCCTGGCTCCAGAAGCATCCACACAGACCAGTACATGCAGGCCATTAAAAGAGGAATCATATTGTTGTCTTGGACCATGACAGGCAGAAGGCACCAGTTTTGGTCAGCGTCTTTCCAGAAGGATGCTGGGCCTTCCAGGGAGCATCTGTGGTCCCTGTCCTCTGCTGTTTGGTGGCTGATGTTTATCCAGAGTTAACTAAAAGCTCCTGGAAGAAAAAAAAAGAAGGAGACAAAGGAAAAAGCAGCAAGTTAGTTACACAGCTGTTGGCCTTGGACTATTTCTTTCAGAAACAAAGGAGCAATGCTGCATGAGTGACAGGCTACAGAAAATTCCTCAGAAAATGTATCGGGTATTGCCTTCTGCAAAATGCAGTCAGACACTCAAGGGGACAGAGGACTGTGGAAGCGAGAGAGCAGGTCATGATATCAAGGCAAGGCTGATTGTATGAAGAAGAATATAAGGTCAGTTGTAAACAATCAGGACTTATAAATCTGATGGCCTGCAGGAGAGAGAGGCCATAGACCCAGCTGAGGCTCAGGGCAGCTGAGCAGCAGGAACGAGCACAGCTCCACACTAAGCCTCAGCCCCAGCAGGACATGGGAGCACTTGGATCAGCAGCTGCCAAACACACACCACTCATCCCAATGCTTGGAGCAGGACCAGCATAAGAGGGGAAAGAAAATAAGAGAGCAATTCAGAGACTACCCTACTAAGAACTTTTACCTTAAGATACAAACCCTCTTAAAATGGAACACAAAGAGTGCTTACCCACATTTACAGAACCCTTCTAAAGCCAACCACAGAAAGACAGCTGAACAGCCAGCTGCACAGGATTCCATCAGCCAGCTAACCGGGCTGGACGTGTGCTTGGTTCTACTCCTTGTGCAGCAGGCATTTTTAGGAAGGAGACTGTGGTTCCTCGAATGTTCTCCTTTCTGGTACACCTCGTAAAAACAGCGCTGCTACCACACATGGCAATGCCTGTTGGAAGGTGAGGGTGCTGTTTAGGCTGCTTCTGCATAGCAGGCCGATATTCGCTGCTTAACACTTGCAAAGTCAGCATGCCCAGACCACACTGACCACACACCTCCACAGAGAGCCCTGTCTCTAACAACAGTGAAACAGAGAAGCTTCAAGAGATTCAAGAATTAAGAGAAAATTGTTTGCCAAATTATTTAGACAAAGCTTAGCCACAAATCTGACAAATGAACCATCAGTATTACTTGACTGCCTTTAATTTCCCAGGTAATTTTTCTCACCATTAATGACTTACAAATTTCACACAGTGCAATATATTTTAAAAAATTCTAATAGCACGCGCACAAAATGCAATGAGCAAAGCAGCAACAGCTCCCAATCAATTTTGCAATACAGTAATTTGCTGTATTTGTACTGTAACACTTCAGTCAAGTGTCAAGGAACACTCTGCTTTGTGATAAAGCCACTGTTGTGACCACTCTGCAGTTAACCCCTACAGAAGGCGCCAAAAACTTTTCTGTAAAGCAATTTTACAAAACCTTTGTTACACAATTTCATGTTCATAATCATAACTACATTCTTTTACTTGTCCAGGAGAAAGCACAGCCAGCACTTAACCTCAGCCGATTCCTCCCAGCCTGGCCCATCCACATTCCAAGGACACATCCAGCTGGAGGCTCACAAATACTCCTTGTGCAAAAAACATCAGGTTCCATCTCACGCCACATGACTAAGCTTTCCCAAAATCTTTTGCAGCCATCACTGGGCCAAAAGCTGATGGGATGCCAAACAGGCTAGACACCAATTTCCTGCCGTGCTGCTCACACCAAGGGCAGTTTCTGGGAACAAAAGATGTAGGTAACAATACTATCAATCACTCTGCACTGCTTCAAAAGAAACAAACAAACAACAACAGGAAACCAGAGCGCAGTCTCTGAACCTGTCCAGCCCCAAATCTTCTGGGGAATGCGCTGTGCAGTGCAGGCATCATTAACACCAATAGCTCTGGAGATCAGAGGCAGAGATCAGAGCTCTCCTCCTCCAGCAGTGCCTGCAGAGCATCACCCAGCTGTAGCACATCTGCAGGTGGAGACTCTGAGGGCCTCCTGGTCTGTTAGCAGTTGATGGGAGAAAACACTTGTCACCATATGCACAAAATTGTTTTCGCTGTTCCTGAGCTGTCAGTTCATAAACCTGTGGCTAACTACTTAAAAGCACAGTTCCTTTGATTTCATGCCTCACGCGCTGTGTAATAGCGTGGAAGGACGCCACTTCTCCACGACTAAACCCATTCTTTGCTAAGCCAGCCGTTCACACCAGTGTTTCAACTCCAGCTAGCACTGCAGCCCCATGGATCCAGACTTGGCACCCTCTGGGGTCCCTTCCAACCTGGAATCCTCCCTGCAACATGCCCCAGGGCTGCTACAATGCTTACCTTCCCTTTGATAGGAGGAGCTAGGAAGGGGAAGGAGCAGCCTTTTCTCTCCTGCACATCCTTAGCATTGCAGATGTACCAGCCAGGCTACACAAGCAACAAGCCCAGGCAGCTCACAGCCACAAGCTGTTCCTGCATGATGGGATCCTCCCAATTAATCAAGTTGAGGCTCAGCCTGAAGTTAAGTGATGCATCACAGAGTAACTGCCCCGCGGCCAGCTCTGGATGTTCTCTGCTGCAGTATTAGGTAAGAGTTCAGGATGCAAGCAGCCTTGAAGCATGCAGCACTCACTGATAAATCAGGATGGTGATGGTGCCAGTTCCCTTCATGCAGAGGGAGAGCAGATTGTTCTGAGTGTTAGGTAGACACCAGGTTCTGATTTGAAAAACTCCAGCCCAGCACTACCACCTACAAGAATGGTCTTCAGTATGGGGTTCGAGGCAATCCATCACAGCTGTGTCCCAGTGTAGGAGCTCGGCATCCTCTCCATGCTCCATGCCTCGGCTCCAGGTGAAACCCATCAACTTAAGGAACTTCTTCCCTCTGGATTTGCCAGATGCAGTCTGCCAAGCCCCAGCTGGACCAAGATGTATTTATTTAACCAGCCTTTAGTCTCACAGGGGTAAACCCTGCAAGTGTCCTCAGTGAATGCCTTACTTTGTACTAACATTCCTTCAAGCAGTCACACTATGGTGCCTGCACATCTGGGCACTGCGTAGCCGTGAAGAAATCAGAAAGCAGACCTCCATGATAAATGAGTCGGTGCATTTGGAATGTCAGTGACAAAGCAGAAATTAATCTCCATAGTTCCCAGCTCTGTGCCACGCGCAGGCAGTTTTCTCAAACCCAGAAGACCTGTAGGCATGCAGCAGACTTCAGTAACGTGACCAAGTCACTTCTTCATCTCTGCTCGTGTGCAAAGAGGCACTAACAAACTACAGAAATCCTCACCTGTCCTAAGATGGGTGTCCAAGGCCTTTCTGCTGGATAAGGCATTTGTTGTGGGGCTATTAGCAGCCCATAGCATTGTAAGGGACATTTGAGTCACTCCGGTTTGATGTATGCTGTAGGTATTTTTTGGTTATGTGCAATTTGTTCTGTTACATTCGGGGTATTGGCTGTTCTGCTGAGCAGCTGTGCTGACTAATGGATCGTAGCACTTCTGTGCCATACAGTTATTGCACAGAAAAGCCTCTCTGTCTCCCTCATCCTTCAGAAGTCCAACAGTTGCTGTCCTTGGGTTTGGAATACGAAGGGGCCGGAGTACGCCTGGCAGCAACAAAAAGCATTAATTCAAAATGCTATTAAAAGAGTTTTGTTGTCCCTCTTCTCCACGTTAACAGCTTTGCAGAGCAGAGGAGCTCACCCGGTGACTTCTCAGCTGCTTCCCTGGGACAGGGCCCTCAGAGCAGGGCAGCAGAACAGCACTTTCAGCAAACGCCCGGGATGTGCTGTCAAATACATTGCCCTGCACTGCCAGAACACCGGGCTGTTTACCAGCACAGCCAATCTCCAGCTATTCCAAGCCTCACCTGTTTGTTCATGCATTCTAACATTGATTTCCTCCAGACATTTGTTCTAACTCGGAGAGAGCTCCCATCATCAGCCTCGCTTCACAGGAAACGCTTTGCCACTGACTGAGCAGCTCTGCAGTCCCCAAGCAGCAAGAAGCCCCTGGCTGAGCCAGGAGCCCCAGAGCCACAGCGGGGAGCAGGAGGCCACGCTCAGCTCTTTTCATTTGGGACACGTGCTGGAAAATGGTAGGGCCAGGAGGAACAAACAGGGCTCTGCAGAGAGTTGCCACTGAAAGGATGGCTGATTAATTAATTGGAGTGCAAACTGAGGATGGGTTTTGTTCAATCGATGTTAATTGCATTTAATCTTATTCTTGCTGTTAAGAAAAGCCATTGGGCCGGGCTAGTGCCTGACACGCAGCTTTCACCCACACTTGGGAGGCGAGGCAGGAGGGGAGAAGTAATGGAAAGAAAGGAAATAACCCTTCCTCACCCCTTCTGCATCACTGCACAACTTCATTGGGTCTGTTCCATTATTTAAACAATTTTTGTTTTCCAATAAAATTACACAGGAGCTCTAAAGGACAAAAAACTGGATGTGGAGCATTTCACCACTAGTTGTTCTGGCTCTCCTGGGTACTGGCTCAGAGCTTTGTAAACCCACAGAGCCGTGGCTATCCAGCTGCTGCAAGGGACTGAAATTAAGAAAATCACCTGCGTGAAGCAGTGCCAGCTCTGCGCCCCAGCTGCCCCCAGCACACCTCCAGCTGCTGCCTGCCTCTCCCACCAGATTGGCCAGAGCATCTCTCAGCTTGCTGCTGATCTCAGCTCCACATACCAAACGGCGCTGAACTCTGCCTTCCCCTAACACAGAATCATTAAGGTCAGAAAAGATCTAAGATCACCAAGTCCAACCCCAACCCCCCACACCATGCCCACTGACCTGCAGTGCCACAGCTCCGCAGTCCCTGAACGCCTCCAAGGACAGTCACCCCAACCCTGTGCTGTAGTTTATCAGTAGTTTTCTTCATCCCTTGACAAGCATTAGTGCCACTGCCTCTTTCCAAGTAAAGAGGACGTATCACAAATGCTGTGAAGGACTGGCTGAGCATTAAGTGGTCTGAAATGGCTTTACTAGACTCGGTCAAGATTGCTTTAGAATCATTTCCCTTTAGGACAGTGACCCTCTTTCTTTACAGCCAGCATAATGATTCTACCTCAGAGGATGGTAATTGCATCCCGCTATCTATACACATCAGAAGGTAGAGACTGCGAAC